ATAATCCACCGGGGCAAAGACCACCGAACGGGGGAAGTTGCGGCAAACACCTGACTTAGGTAAGCACACCTGGAGAACCGGTGATATAATGTCCTGCCATTGTTGAGCGTTGAGGGTAGTGAGTGCCATAGGATATTCAAGCTTCTTCATGATTGTGGTCCGGATGAGTGGTAACACATTGTACTTGTGTAGCAGGTGAGGCCGAAGCTGTTTGGCCCACTCTGTAGCTTTAGAGACCAACTGTGCCTCCTGTGCTTTGTGATTTTCCAGTGGCGACAACATCACCCCCAGAGTACGTTCGGAATCATCTGGTTCAAGGCGGCGAAGGGGTTCAATGTCACCGTATAACCCCGGTATCTTAAGGTTGACAATTACCATTGCAAGCATCCCATTCAAAGTCAATAAGCCACCAGAAGGACTTCTCCGGATTGATTGCACCACCTGTTGCCCGAATTCCCCCCGACCACAAGGTGGCAGCAGCCTGGACTGAGGCGCAAATGTCCTCCCCAGAGTGATGGACCGTGTCACCTGCTTCAATCACGTCCGTATTGTCAACAAAACAGAAACATTGGGCTGTCACTAGTTGTGACTCTAACGCCAAAAGACACTCAAATCCATAGCCCATTGCTTCCATCATTGTAATTAACACTGAGCTCACCAAAATCCAAATGGGAGGTCCGGCACCATTCCCTTGCCCACAACCTTGGAATGGAACCGCTGACGGAGGGCGAAAGCTTCTCTTGGAGTCACCAAAACCTGTGCGAACCCGGTGTTGAACATCGATGATAGGACACCCCATGTCAAGCCAAACCGCAACATTGTGACGATGGCCACCCAGTGGACAACACGGTCAAAGCAGGACTTGGCATCGTTTGAGATCCACCCCGCTGCGCGGCGTTGAAGGATCAGTAGATCCCACACTAATTGTTTAGACAAGGCCAGGTCAATTGCTTGATGACGTTTGCGTGAGCCGCATTGCCCGTCAGGTATCAAGGAGTGCGCTTTGGCGAATTGCATGGCTGCACGTCCTGCCTTCTTATTGTTTGCCTGGGCCTCGGAATTCATCAACTGGATGGTGCGCATTTTGGATAGGCAGAAGTCTCCTGGCTTCTTTTCAATGGGGAAGTTCATCAGGTTCTGCCATTGAAGAGGAACAAAGCCTGTGGTGAGAGGAATGTTCCGGAAGAGGGCATCACAGTACGCTATAGATGGAGACTGGATAGCCGCCTTAAAGTGTCCATTATGTAGTCCATGAGGTTCAGATCCTTTATTCTCAGGGTTCCGCGACCAGAAGTACACGTGATCGTCCTTGGAGACTTGCAAGTGAACTGGAGAGTGCCCTTTGTGAAACCGGCAGTGAGATAAGAAAGAAGCCGTAGCTGGGTCCAACAGATCAGGTAATGTGTAACGGCCTTCTAACAATGCCAGAGAATTTATTTCAGCGTTGTCACCGGTAAATTCGCTATACAACGGTTCGGCCATAGGTGGAGTGGTATACGGCGCTCGTGTTTGATCATAGCGTGCCGTGTTTTCTTGCATGCATCCATCTTCTACAAGGCGGCGGTCAGTGATGGTCCGGAGACTGGTAGTGCCATCTGGTAAGTGTGCTTCAATTTGAATAGCCTGAAGTCCCCCTGTAGATCCTTTGCTCTGGGCGCGACGACGGCGTCTCGCCTCCTCTCTTTGCTTCATTCATCCTAACCGAAAAAATCTATCACGGGCCTTCCAAGACTTCCACTGATGCTTCTTTGCGTCCTTGGTTTGGACTGTCAAGAAGTCTTTCCTCCATTGAGCTGCGTAGGTGTGTTTGGCCTGCTTGTACAAGGCGCGCTCTTGCTTCAGGCAGTCCTCCAGATCACCCTCTGACTTCCTCCAAGCTTGTGGCAACGCTGTTTTCTTCATCAACCGGCGAACTTTGCGCGAACTGACACGACAACCTTTCTTGCCTTTCAACAGAAGCTTCCACAGGCTCATACGATCCCAGAATCCCTGCATTTTTGGTGACCAGGGAACTTTACCTGGAGCTAAGGCCCGTACAAGGCGCGCTCTTGCTTCAGGCAGTCCTCCAGATCACCCTCTGACTTCCTCCAAGCTTGTGGCAACGCTGTTTTCTTCATCAACCGGCGAACTTTGCGCGAACTGACACGACAACCTTTCTTGCCTTTCAACAGAAGCTTCCACAGGCTCATACGATCCCAGAATCCCTGCATTTTTGGTGACCAGGGAACTTTACCTGGAGCTAAGGCCCGGCACTTCTCTTCCGCCTGGCGCCTCACAGTATACATTCGTCTGTGTAAACAGTTGTATTTGCGCACCAAAGGAGGGGTCATCTGGTGGCCCAGGTGAGCAATACGCTTATTCAGCTTATTCAATCTCTCCGGGATGGAGTACTTGGCATAACCTTTGTGAGCCAATTGAAGATATTTGCGGACAGATCGAGAGTCTTGAAGGGACAACTTCCGTGGCTTGAAGTTGGATTTCGGAGGTTGGAAGTTGCCCAAGGAGGCGGAAAGATCAATGTCAATCCACAATCCGCGATGATCGCAATCAAAGAATTCGTCAAAGGCATAGTACCCACCTGCAAGGATTTGTACGCCCAAAGTGGTGAAGATACCATCAATCGGAATGTTCCGTTGGTTGTGCTGGTGGGTCGCTTGCGGTGGATGGTGTTTTAGGATCGCCTCCTCAAGACCGCAGGCCCGGAAGCGATGGCGGATAGACTGGGGTACGTTCACAGTGACATCCTCGTTTGCATCTATACCCAACACCACCTCACACCCTTCATCACGCCATTTGGTGATCTGTTTCAAAGATCGTCCACAAAGGCTTTCCTTGGATTAACTTTTTAAATCACTGCATGAAAGTGAAGCCTGTGTTGTGCCCATACTGTAGATCCCCCGAGGCCTTGCTTGTTGGGACGATATGCGGAGACCACCACCAAGTCCTTGGAGATCAGACCACAAACTATGTTATTTACCTCAACCAAAGAGTCCTGAACATTACCCCCATGGGCTTTCAACTTCCTTCCTTGGAGACGGACATAGGCCCATTGTCCTAAACCCGTGGGGTCTCTGCCAGCTTCCTTAGCCCTGTGCGCCACTTGGTTCAAAACGGTTGCGATGCACCCACCCCATTGTACCGCCGAGGTGGCAGCAGATCTGTCCTGATGCCGATTGTAAGCTACCGACGAGTAAAACCCTTTTTGCTCGGACTTCATCGTAGCTTGACGGAGTCTGTCACTCCAACCGTGACCTTCATTGATAGACGGCCAAAACGTCTTGGCCTCTGCCAACAACGCAATTCCCACTTGTTCCTCCTTCAGCCAGGAGTTGATCTGTTGTTGCTTCGAGTCAGTGCCATTCTCTGGTAATCCGTTGACATTCTGGAAACAGACTCGAGTAGACAGTGAAGAATGACGACGGCGATCATCGCCAGACCAATCCCTTGCTGGAAGAGAACGTAAATATTTGTCCAGTGAAGCGTGAGAGACTCCACTTGACGGGCCACTAATACGGGATCTTCTGCCTGCACACCGTGACCTAGCTGCAGACGATTGTGGGCCTCTCATGGCCCCTCCGCGGAGCGGGGAGCTCCGCGGGAGGACCGAGAGGATTTACTGGCGCCATCACTGTGCGCCTTCCCAGTAGGAGGAGAGAAGAATGGAGACCCTCCACCTCGTGGAGTAGACGCAGTAAGAGAGGAGGTTTGGCTCTCATCTTGAGATGCGGCAGTAGTGTTATCCCCTTCCATGTGAGACGTGTCTACTTGGACAGCTGAGGCTGTCGAGGGTTGGGCAGAAGATGGTTCCTGAAATTGGACACCTGCACTTGTACGGGCCTTCTTGGCTGGTTGTTTAGTTTTGCCCTGCTTGATGGCCTTCTTTGGTTTTGTCACTGTGTTGGGAACAATCGAGCTCTTCCCAGTGGATGACTTGCCTAAGGTTCTGTTGCTAGATCTGACCGGTGGGTTCACTGCTTGACGGTCAGGGGACA